GTTTACAAGAGCACCGAGTGCTCCCTGGCCACGCATATGTTCCCCGGATTTACAAGAGGGTCGGATGCGCGTCCTCGAGAGCAACTTCCCGGACTACATGCAGGGCACCGTCGGCTGCGGCGTCAATCACGCCCTGAACCTCATGTAGAGCGGGGTGATGATCTCGCCGACCGCGAACAAGGGGGGGAGAGGAATAGGGGCGCGGGGTGATAACAGCGACACAGCTCTCTCTCTCGGTTCTCTTCAGCCAATCAAGAGATCGGGAGAGCTTGACAATTTGATGAGATTAACTTTTCGTAGACGCGGAACAATGTGTACCTTACGCCAATCGTCGTGTCTTTCCATTGCCATAAGTATGTAACGTAGAGATCACTCTTGCGTACGTGTGTGTGTGTGCGGATGTATGTGGATATATATGTATACGTGTGTCTGTAGCGTCGAAACTCGAACTCGCCGAAATTACATTGGCCGCAATGCGACGGTGCAAAAACCTTGACGGTAAGCAAAATGTCAACCGCTGGCATTCGTCGGATGGAGAAATAAACGTATTATAAAAATTCAGCGCATTCAACTTTTCCCTCTCGACACGACGAGCGTTTCTGACACACTGCGTGTGCGACGCATCTCGATTTGAATTTCAAATTAAATTGCTCCACGCGTATTAATCCTCTCTAATTAATTATACAGTTTGATTCGTGCGAGGCGATCGCTACAACTTCAACTACGCGATTTTCGAATTATATCCTTGGAAACCTAACGAAAATATTTCCGGAGATCTAACTCTCATTTAACATTTTTTTATACACTTTTCTCTATAAATTATAAATTGTCTTATCTTTGTTGAGATCAAATTTACAAAATTACGTGCAACAAGTTTCATTTGTTTGGAAAGAAAAAAAAAAGAAATGCCGACAGGTTATCCGTCGTGCGTGAAAAAATTAATTACCTCGCGTGTTCCACTCAGTCCGACATGCTAATAATACCTTTTCTCATGTCGATCCACTTCCAGTTTTTCCTTTGTGAAGGAACACACGTGCTCGGAATAAATTAATAGTTTGCACCGAGAATAAGGTCTGTGTGTTCTCAACACGGCATCGGTTCTCCTTTCGAATTCTTGTATCCAATTCATCAATAGCTTTACATGGAATGTCTAATAAAAATCTCAACTTCCTTTTTTATACCCTGTAATATTCGGAACCAGATATTGAACCAGATGTTACACGATACTGTCAATGAAAATTGATACGCGAGATGAGATTATCTTTCTGATTTCATGTGATATCCGCTACGAAAATTCGAATGTATCCAATTACGAATTATGATTTTATAATCTTTTTAATCCCACGACATTTGATCTTTGATTCGATAATTCGCTGCCTCTCCGCTGTAATTTATTGTGGCACGATGAATATATAGTCTGTGATTTAATTACCATAAAACGTGATAATCAATGAGCGCGTTATAAACGCTAATTATATTCAGACGATTGCATGGAAAGTGTGTCAAACTTCAAGAACTAGTCGAAATTGAACTTGCATCTAACATCGAATCGGTCGATGGCGCAAGATGCCTTGGGCTTCAGGATAGTGAAAGAAAAAACAACTCTCCTCATTTTTATTAAATTATACAATAGAATTGTTTAAACTTCGTTTCTTGTGACTTTTTTGACTTATTCTAGTAACAAGTCGGAAAGTACATGTTAATTTTATTACAACGTGACTAATTATTATTTTTGCGATCAATTGAGTAAAAAAATAAAATCTCGGTCACAAATACTTATTAATTATAACTTCTGAAAGCTGCAATTATACACATAACCCGCTATGGTATTCAATTGAATCGAATTGGCATTTATTTACATGCCATAATAGCTATATTTAAGCAATTTAAAGTCAATACCTTTAAAAATAGATGTCACAAGAAATTTTTGTTTTTCAAAAAAATTACATTACCAAGCTACATTAACTTTTTATTTTTATATTTTTAAAATGACTAAAGGTGATAGATAAAAGCAGAGTAACTGTCAGATATCCAAGACAAATTGTTGATAATAAGTTTATAATAAGTATTTTTTATTGCCATATATGTCGATTTGTTTTGTACAACAATTTTCAGGAGCGCACTGAAATTGCGATAGCATCACGAACTACCATTGTTGCGATAGCATCACGAACTATTACTATTGCGATAGCATCGCGAAATTGCAATCAAATTGAAACCGTTGGAATCGCCCGGGATAAAATTATTATTAACACAGAAGAGATTTTCTTCCGCGTGGAGGATTTGCTTCCGTTTCGCTTTACATGATTTATAAAATACGTGATCCGACGATTTTAAATCACGCCAGGCACTGTTTTTATGTAAATGTTCCCTAAAAAAATATTTAATTTGCTTTTATCCCCCACGGTAAGCTGAGAATTTGCTTGTCGAGTCAAGTTCGGGGTCGATAGCAAGCCGCTTCCGCTTTGTCATGGGAACGGCGGGTTGTCGTAATTGGCCATGTATTTCTCATAATGTGGTATTGAGCAATAACGAAATATCCGATCTCTGCAAAGTGCACGCTACAAACTCGTAGGCACAGTAATCGAGCACTACTGTATTATTCTATACACTGTGTTTCCTTATCCGTTCGATATCTCGCGCTGAAAGATTTTCAGTTGCAATGATTGAAAATTGCACTTTGTCGACGGGGGATCACGTTGATCGGCGTTTCGATCGGCAATCGTAATGCTGTAGAAAATTCTGAGCTGACAGAGAACGGAAAAGAAGAAAAAGAAGCCGAAATATAAATACGTCGCAATTTTAAAATTGTTCTCTACGTTAGTTTTTACTTAAAAATACATAATTTTGTAAGATGAATTAAATAATTTTAAATAATTAATTAAACAGTAGTTTTATAAATTAATTTTATAATATAAAAAGTATTTGTTAAAAAAAATATGTTAAAAAAAGTATATAATATTTGGTCACATTGTGTATTAGCGCGAATCATAAGATATCATTGTAATCATTCGAAAGGTCCTTTTCTATCATTATGGAAGAATTTGCACCATAATCTATACTTCGAGAGACTGTAAATCTGTCTTCGTAAAATATATATAGTAGTAGCTTGTGCCTGAACATTCAATATATAAACGGGACGAAAGGCGTACAAAGAATAGGCTAGGCAAGTATGCATGAATACAAGAGCTCTGTTCCATAGAGAGAAAGTGATTTATTGGTCAGATATGAAGATTGGTACCCGGAATTAGTGCGCGATATATGAGATAGACTCGCTTAAAAAAAAAGAAAATAGGAAAAATTAAAAGAAGAAGACGTATCTTGTAGGAAGATGAATTTCAAATATCTTAGTATTTTTCAAAAAACATGGAAAATTTATTTACCGTGGAGAAAGAAGAGATTTCGAAAGGAATACGTTCCAATCGTTTCTACGACCCACTCGTTCCCCATTTCTCACTACCACCAAAAAGATTTCAGGAATTTCACTCGTAGAATTAATCACTTTGACTTCATGAGTGTGCACATTCGTCGCGTTAATAGGGTGGACAAAATAAATCTGTCATGTGGAAAAAAATTGCGAAACAATGACCACGATCAAGACTGCTTGTCCTGGATTCTGGTCTCAGTTATACGTCCGAAATGTGAATTATATCTGTAATAATGGGCGCGGCCTTTAGGTCCGGGCACTTTCGATCGAGATCAGTCAAGGACATCTACGTAACCGTTATAATTCTATAGCACAAGCACCAAGTGCCATTTTTTATGGTCTTTCGTAATATCGTACAACGGTTTACAGGCAGTGAAAGATCATTGAGTCTTTATACAGCGCGTTCCATCACGAGTAAAGTTCTCTCGCGAATCGCGAAATGAGTATATATACAGTTTCTTCAGCGAATTTTAAGAAATCCCCAAAGTTCACTTCTCTCCCATTAATTTAATATTTTTATTTTTGTGCGTAGAACGTAAGAGAGTTCTGATATTACCGATACGTGTGCAGAATCTGTTAAAAACTGAACGCGAATGAATAATTAAGCTATGCCTCATTATCGCGCAGGTGGAGCTTCGAATGTTTTCGCAGGGATCTTCAATCTTCCTGGTGATAAGAGCACCAGCTTCTGACTTGACGGTATTCGGTGAGATACGAGGGCGTGGATGTCACGAATGAGCCAATCACTTTCTTCGCCGCCTTGCAAAGAGAGATTTGCGAGACCGTGTGTCGCCTGTGTGTGCCATTAAACTCCAAAGTCTTGGAATGGTCTCGATCGGTGTAGGTGTGCTGTCCCTACAGTGCACGATTGTGCACGTACGAGTAAAAGTGACATATGTTACATAATACATTCGAGTTGTATCCTATCTCTTAGGGATTTAAGTTCTAACAAGGTGATGCTGGGAAATTGGATTAGTCCGTGTTCAGCCGATAGAACTCGTGGTACACACGCGGCATACTTCTCCTGACAGTTGATGCTAGTTGATCGCGAATCTGACCAATTCGATCGTTCATTTTCTTCGAGTGTGCGACTGAAGCGGGGTGATTGCTTCAATTTACCGTGTTTCAACCTTTAAACATGAGGTAGGTGAGATATGTGAAAACTATAAACAAAATTTGAGATGTGAAAGCTATAAACAAAATTTAACTTCGAAATTTCGCACGCAATAATCATCTTAATCTTTCGTTTTTCATATTGTCGTCTATACTTGCAATTTAATTTTCTAAATAATCCAATTTTTTACAAGTAAACTTAGTCAAAAATTTATCTTTCTCCTATTTCTCTTTTTGAAATTTTTCTCCCTTTGGAACTCTCAATTTGATGACAATGCCAATCCTCTATAGAGAAAAGATGTCAAATTGATGAGATATGTTGGTCTTTTCAGGAATGTTTCAACGTGTGACTTTAAAGATGATTCCGTGAATGTCCTTTTAAAACTGATTAACTTAATTATTCGTTTGTTCTTCAACTTTTTCCAGGCACGTATTGTTCGCTACGGTCCTGTCGCTGCTGGGCGTCAGGGCAAAGGCGAGAACACTGGAAACGATAGCGCAATGGTCGGTGCTCGATTACGCGTTGCCGCAAAACGACCACGGATTTCAGTATCAACCAGAAAATATAGTGATGTCCGGTATCGAGATAGCCTGGGACCGAATCTTCGTCAACACGCCCAGATTACGCGCCGGCGTGCCGGCCACTCTGAGCTTCTTCCCCAGGAAAGTACCGTTGGGAAGCAGCCCGCAGCTCCAGGCGTATCCCTCGTGGGATTGGCATGGTGCAGGGAAAGGAGACATCAACTGCACCAAGTTGATCTCCGTGTATCGCAGCAGGTTGGACAGATGCGACCGACTGTGGGTCGTTGATGCAGGCGTCATGACGTCGATTGACGATTTCATGCCTGTTTGCCCGCCAAAAATTGTGGTGTTTGACTTGAAGACCGATCAAGTAGTCCGCCATGTCACCTTTCCACGTGAGGTGAGCAGAATGACATTTTTTTGTGATAAAATAAATAAAACGCATCAGTAGAGAAGAATTCAACTTACTACTAATCGCGTGTGTAAAAGATCGAAAAAGTATATAAGGAATAATTTTACAAATCAAAATAAATATAATATTTTTAATAAAATCAGGTTTTTTTGTTAGTTTGTTTATAGTTATTTATAATTGTTTATTTATAGTTGTAGATATTATTTATAGTTTATAGATATTTATATAATGTGCAAATTATATTTTTTTTATCTTAAAAATGCGCTAATAAAAGTCAGTATTAAAAAATGTTAAACGTGAGGAAATCGATTTAATTTACAAATTATAAATATAATTGAAAACCGGTTTTAAGTACAAGTTTGTGTAACAAGTTATCTGTCACAGAAATAAGTATGGAGACAACGACCATTCATTATATCTGATGGCCTAGAAAATAACTTGTTTTTAAGATATTTTTACGCAGGGTTATAAAAATAATTGTTTCTAGTAATTATTGTTATGGGTCTTTTTCTTTAGGTATTGAGACCGGATTCCTTGTTAACCAATATTGTTATCGACGAAGTCTCGGCGAAAACCTGCGATGACGTATTTGTTTACATGACTGACACTCTTGGTCCAGGTCTTGGTTGTTTATTTTTTAATTAGCTATTTTTTAATTGACTATTTACACTACAGTATATGCTATATTTTAAATATAATAATTTTTTATTAATTTTTTTAAATAAGTGATTTTTAAATAAGTGATCTCTTAATAAAGACATATATCTTTTTTTTGCTCTTTTTAAAATGTAGTGTTTTTCAAGACATTTGGGAGAAAAAAAAAGAATTCAAATATCTTTTTCTTAAATTTGAAGATACAAAAAAATAGATATCACGTAATTTAAAATTAGCATTGTTTATGAGATAAGAATAGTAACAAGTAAATAAAATTTACTACAGAAAGTACAAATTTTAAACATAAAAGTCTATATGTTTAGTTTCAATATGATTTGTTAAGTTTTTGAAAGTTAATGCAATTATTAGTTACTGCAGTTTTTTGTAATGTTTAAAAAAATGAAGAAAGAATTATTAAAAATGTTAATTAATTTCTTAATTATTTCTAAACAGTTTGTTAAAAATTTTCAAAACTATATAAAAAAAGGAATCAAGCTTATTAATTTGATATAATATTTGATAGTTGGTGATAGAATATTAATTAATCAAAAATTATTATAAAAATTTCTAAGAATTAAAGAATCAAGAGCAAAATTTGGCAAAATTTGTATATAAATTGTTGATAACATTTTTTATATTTTACATTTATTATTATTTTATTTAACTTGTTTACTTTTTATTT